GTCTGTGCTCACCTTTCTGAGTATTCCAATCAGTTACTGTTCTTGAAGAAAATATATTAATCTAGTGGCAATGCAAAATTTTGCATGATTAAAAATAAACCAGGGCTATGCATAAAATACATCAAATAGGTTGGCCAAGTTGTAATAAATGTCTTTAGTTTACAGAAAACTTGAAAGCAATAAATTGCTATTTTAACTGTTTTCTAACATGCACAGTTGAAGTCAGAATTGTTAGACCCCCTGAATTATTAGCCGCCCTATTTATTTTTTCCCTAATTTCTGTTTAACGGAGAGAAGCTTTTTTTAACACATTTCTAAACATAATAGTTTTAATAACTCATTTCTAATAACTGATTTATTTTATTTTTGTCATGATGACAGTTAATAATATTTGACTAGATATTCTTCAAGACACTTCAATACAGCTTAAAGTGTCATTTAAAGGCTTAACTAGGTTAATTGTGATGCTGCTGCTCTGACTAATTTAGAGATGCGCCCTCTATCTCTGCATTTTTCAGCTTGTTGAACAGTTGTGTGCTTTTATACACAGTTGCAATACTATAAATGTGCTTTTAATGAAAGAAATGCATCTTATAACTTTTTGATGCATTTTTTACTCTTCATTTGCAAAAAAATTTTAGATATCATGGTTGGTTTTCTTGTGATCAAATTTCACAGCCATGTACTATGAATCATTGACAGTTGGTAAATACTGCAAAAATTATTTCCTTTTTATTGTTTTTGCCTTGTTTCTAGTCCAAATATGTAAAAAATCTTAAAGAATAAACATTTTCTAGACAGATTTTCTGTGGAAAATGCTTCTTGATTTAATGTGATTTTTATTTAAAGTGATTTTTTTTTTTTAGATATTTGAACTAGAAAATACAAATCTTTATCACTATAGCTGTGGTCTGAATTCCGATGTTATTTTCTATTCTGAACAGTTCTAAGAATGATGACATTATCGTTATCTTTAAATTTATCATTCTTGCTGTGAGCCTCCTTTAGTGGCAATTCTGTGGATCCGAAATGCCTTGGTTAACAATACTTTGAATAACTATCATTACAATCAAGGTTTGCAGAAGAACATCTCTGAATGTGCAAAATGTCAAACCTTGAAGAAGGTGAACAACAGCAGCAAAAACCACACGGCTCACCAGAAGATTGGTCTGATGAGTCTTGTTTTCCGCTGCAAAATTTACATGCTACTGTCATAATTTGGTGTGAACAAAATGGCATGTTTTCATCCTCTCTTGTAGTAACAGTTCAGACCAACACAATCTCACGGCAATTCATAACTTTTTCATTTAGTGGCTAATTCGTATGAATTCGTACAATCTATTTCGTACAATTTAGTACGATTTGCTTTTCCCCCAATGACGGTTGGGGTTAGGGGTGGGTTCAGGTGCCACGCCTCCTTTTTAAAATCGTATCATTTCGTACGACTGAAATCGTACGAATTCGTACGAATTAGCCACTAAACTGGCAAAACGTAAAATACTTACGTTTTCTCGTGAGATCAGGCTGTTCAGACTGATGTGGGTGTAATGGCGCAAGGGAGATTTTCTTGCACACTTCGGGCCTTTAAGCACCAGCTCAGCATCAGTTTACATCACAGTCTACCTGACTATTGTTGCTGCCAATTTCCATGCCTTTACAACCACAGTGCTGATTTCCCGCTCTGACATGTTTCATCATCAGCAACATTCGCTTTCACCATCACCATCCGCAGCAGATGTTGCAGTAAACAGTGATTTGCAGTCAGCTCACAGCAGTGTTGATCTGCAAGTGAGCGGCTGCGAGGATCAGTTATTCGAGGTGGCTGAGGTAGCAGCAGCAGCTCCTCCTCCTCGGCTCCGCTTCCCTCTCTTCCTGCTCACACAATAGGAGGGCAGGATTCAGCAGTTACTATGACAGCCGTCCAGCCCTCCTCAGCAATGCAGCGTCTGCCGTTCAGTCCACGCAGCCTCCTTCAGGTTCACTCACATGCATGGAGAAGCGGATCCGCATGCACTAGTGCTCTGACATCCATGTAGCTTTGATTCACTTCGCTTAATTCCGGGATCAGCATGGGCCTGGATCTTTTTTGATGTCGTGCAATGCTGTGGACTGCTTTGGAAATGCCTCTGACATCTACGGTGAGCTTATTACTGCTTGTCTTCAGTCTTTGACAGCTTGGCTTTGGTTCTTATAAACCATCTGTAATCAAATATGAGTCTTCAAAGGGCGCCTGGGAACTGCCGGGAATATATTGCCTGCGGTGCATGCATTTCTTTCCACATCTCTTAATAAATATAATGGCTTCATCAAGCATATTGGCTTGTTTTTATTAGCGGATGGGGCAGAATTTTGTGTTTTTGGCACCGCTGAGAGTATACTTGGGTTTCTTTTGATAACTCTCATCACATGGTGTCTGGGTGCAGTGTTGACTTTGTGTAAACCAGCCAAAGAAATGAGTCAAACAGGTTCTTCAGATGAACACAAGACCAAGACAATGTCAGCTTGTCATCTTTGAAGGATGACTTTAATTAGTTTTCTGCGAGCAGGATGGCCTGTCAATTATTGTTAGCAGCTTTGCTGGAATCGCAAATGTGCTGAGTGACAGCAAAATGCTGAGAAACATATTAAGTCAATCTAGGAATGTTTATTGATCCGGAGAAGCAACCAATTGGTTTTTGTCTTCATCATTCTTTAAGACAGAACATTCTGTCTGTTCAGAAACATTGGGTGGCTTCAACCCAGTGCCTGGAGATCTTTAATATCTTTGACGAAACCCCAAAAAATGCCAGGTTTGTTTTTAACCCATTGTAATTGCATTTTCCATTCAAAAGAAAGGCATCATCAGAACACAATGTCCAAGTAATGAGTCTCCCGGGACATTGAGTGGCTTTCCCCACTACACTCATGCATTCTTCATCTCTTTCCATTGTCGTGAACAAGGGAAAAGCCTTTCCCCTGTTTTCCGAGACATGCCTTGCCTCTTTTCCTGTTGTTGCCGAAGGGTTCCTCTCACTCACCCAGGTCACGGGGTTCACTAATTCTTGTCAGTCAATTCTCAAATGTTTTAACCTTTTGGTGCGGAGAATGTTGGCAAAACCCAACTGGCCTTTTCACCTGTTGACAGCTGAATGTGCTCCCTAAGGTCAGCAGAGCTTCTTTTTTTTTATATTTGACGCACGTGTGGTGTCCCATCCTCAGGTGAAAGATGTCCCGAGACACTCTGAGAACAGGCCTGTCTTTGTTTATGTATAAATGTCCTGAGTGTTTTGTTTCGTGCTTCCTTACCTGTCAGAGCCGAGCTGCATCTGGCACTTAAAATTCCACAGTTTAGGCTGATGACTGCACTTAAGGTGGCTGCTTTGACCAACTGTCAAATTGAAAATTGATGTTACATTATTGTTTTTTTTTCATCTTCTCTGTGGTTTGTTTGCTGCTCTGAAATAAATTTAAAAAAATTGAGTTGCAACATTTCTGTCATTTCATTTAGGATCATTTTCCCAGAAATTTTTAAATGTGTAAATATTGAAAAGTAATATCTTTTATAAAAATATTATTTATTTAAAAGATTCATTCATTTTTTTATTTAATTATTTAATTAACAACAACCGCAGCAGTTGTGTTTTTTTCATTTATTAAAACACTACTCAACATTTTTTGTGTGTATTTTAATACGCGAGTCATACAAGTGTCATATTAATTATTAAAATATAATTCCTTAATTAATAAGGCAACTTGGTGGCTCAGTGGTTTGCACTGTCGCCTTATAGCAAGAAGGGGTAACACTTTATTTTGATGGTCTGTTTGTTGAATTTAAGTTACATTGCATCTACAGTACTTGCCAACTAATTCTTATTCAATTATAAGTAGACTGTTAGGTTGGGGTTAGTGTAAGTTGACATGTACTTGCAAAGTTTCTTATAGTCAATTAAATGTGTGTTTAAGGAGCAGTATTAACATTAAGCTGACAGTCTACTAATACTCTAATGGAACATCAAAATAAAGTGATTCTCACGAAGGTTGCTAGTTCGAATCCCAACTAGGCCAGTTCTATGTGGAGTTCGCATGTTCTCCCCATGTTGGCAGTCCAAAAACATGTGGTTTCGGTAAATTGGATAAACTAAATTGACCGTAGTTTATGAGTGTGTGTGTATGAATGAGTGTGTATGGGTGTTTCCTAGTATTGGGTTGCAGCTGTAAGGGCATCCGCTGTGTAAAATATATGCTGGATGGGTTGGCGGTACATAATGAATAAAGGGACTAAGCCAAAGGAAAATTAATGAATGATTAAATTTCTTAATAATAATAACTCTATTATTATTATTATTATTATTATTATTATTATTATTATTATTATTATTATTATTATTATTATTATTATTATTAATAATAATAATAATAATAATAATAATACTAATAATAATATTACTAATAATAATTATGTTACTATTATCAATTTACATATTGTTATTATTTAAATTGTCATTAATCATGTTTAATATTAAAATAAATAAATAAAATATTGAAAAAATACACCACGCATTTATTCTTAGGTTTGTTTTGACTATACAGTTGACGATACATAATATTTTGCTAATTATTTTGCAGTATTTTAATCTTTAAATGTGCAATTTGAAAGTTATTTAACTATATGAAGGTCTAATTAATCTGTAGCCATTGGAGAGAAAAAAAAATGTCAAGGGGCAGATAATATTGACGTAAAAAAGTCCAATGTTCCAGCCAAACTAAAAGAAATTAGACTTTCTCTAGAAGAAACAAATATTAAAGAAACTACTGTGAACATTTCCGTGTTCTGTTAAACATCCCTTGGAAAATATTTGAAAAAGGAATTTAAAATTTCACAGGAGGGTCAATAATTTTGCTTTCAGCTGTATGTGGAGTCCAGTATAACCCCCACCCCCCTCCTTCAGTACAAACATTGCTCTCTTGTTTACTTTTCCTTTTCCTCATCACTTCTCCCTCTTAATGTCTGTCTATAACAGGGTCAAACACGTCGGCGAAAGAACATGCCGGAGTTTCTGGGTGACTCCAGCATCTCAAACCAAGACTCCCTGTCCCAGCTTAGTGGATCTCTTCCAGGATCTATAACAGGTCCCGACCGATGGAGGAACCGCGCCGCCAGCCGATTCAGCGGCCTATTCAGCTCCAACTCAGGAAATGGCTCTCTAGGGAAGGTCAGCATCCAAGCGTTGTTTTACAGCAGCAAGCCACTTTCTTATATGCAAAACAAACACTTAGATATTCCTGGCAAAGTCTCTGCATTTCACACTTGAGTGAGTGTGTGAAGGAAGAAATTTCAATTTGTCAAAGTATTGCTCCACTTAAGGTGAAGCAGTGCAATTTTCAGTGTTTATTCAGTGTAATCCAAAAAAAAAGAAACATCTAACATACACTTTTAAGTCTTTCTAAATTGTACAGTCTGTATTCTGTATTGTGGTCCAAAACAGTGACAAAATCCGTGTTTAGAAACTGAAATTAACATGTAAAGCTTGTAGTTTGTCACTTCCACCTAAATGGATCAACAGTTTTATTCCCATTTACTCACACTACTATTTATCATCAAATCATAACCAATCAAATGCTCTCTATATCTGACATGTCCGACCCCCTTCAAGACTCTTTTCAATTGCTTTTGATTTGATTCACTTGAGCTAAACTTCTCTCACTGGCAGAGCGGTGATAAAACAAAACACTATTGGCTGTTTAAAAAAGGGGGAGGAGCTACACTATGTCCCACCCTCTCTTTGTGTTTCGGTTGTGATTGTCAAACATAGAAGAAAAATGTATATTTCATAGCACTTTAACCTCTTAAGACCCAAGGTGTTTTTTACCTGCATTTTTTATTTCTCTTTGCTATATGTTCATATGATGTACTTTTAGAGAAAAGTGATGTCCATATATGTGGACTTGTGGTCCGAATTTGCATAAAACACTTTTCCTGACAGTTTCTCAATGCATATATAACATATGTAATTTTTTTGAACATGTTTTGACTATCAGAGAGTAAAAACTATTTTTTTCCTCATTTTGGACAGTTAAAAATAGTGTTTGGGACATTGCATATGCTGTGTGAACAGCAGTAACAGGATGTGTTAACAGTTACAGGATGTGTCTGTAACAAAATATAAAATCTTAAAAGCCACTTTAAGGCTAAAATATGCTGTCCACGTATGTGGCCACTAAGCCCTTGGAGGTTAAAGCCATTTTCTCAAAATGGGGTTTTTCTCCTGTCATAAATATCCACATCGGCAGCTTTTACATAAAACTTCACTGTTTTATCTGTATTCTGAATGTTTTCACAATGTAATTTGTCAACGCTATCCAACAGCAATTTAGTGGCTAATTTGTATGATCTCATTTGGACAATTTAGTATGATTTGCTTGTCCCCTAGTGTCGGTTGGGTTTAGGGATGGGGTTTGGTGGCACTTCATCTTTTAAAATTAGGGTACATGCAGAGCTAGTGTTTCCTCCCATACTGATAAACTTCTGGTGAACAGTTAATGTGTCTTTTTTTCATTTTATACGGTTCCTTTCACAGGATCGATGTTGTAGTAAAATTAAAATACAATCAGTTAAATAGACTTTGGCATTCATTTAGTTGCTCAAGGGTGAAAGAAGATGAAAAGCTGTTTACATGCACGCACCCATCAGGATTAGCAGGCTAGCACAGAAGCTTCATTGAATATACTGGGGTAAAATAAATGCTTATATTTTAAAGACATGGCAGGGAAAATTTAATTTAATGCAGTGCTTCTTGTACACTGTGAGACCCTCTTTATATCGAATATCACTCAGCTGTTGGAGATCCAGTGGGGAAGCACTTGACCCAGGTTACTGACAAATTAAAAGTCCTTCCGCATACTTCTGCAAATACCTAATTCTAGCTTTTCACCTGAACTTGTGT